TAAGATCGTATTAGTCATACTCACGTCATAACGTTAATAAATAGTGATACGCGATCTATAAAATGTTTTGCTGGGGTGAGAATATAGTAAGTTGCATAATATTTTGCAATATTTCTGACAGATATTGCTTATTATTGTAAAACATATGTAAATTGTTTACCATTCCTAATTTTCTTATTTTCATTACAAAGTAGGTATAATTACTAAAAAGGTGACACATATTTAAAACATAAAGATATGTGCTATTCATACTTTAGGATGTATTATGGTTGTACTATAGTATGGAGTTAAAATTATCACAAACACAATGGTAATTACAATAATATATTTTTTTATTCTATTCCATATCAAAACATAACCTTAAAAAAGTGTTTTCGTTTCTTAGTCTTAATGAAACTTACTGATAATTTCATCTGCTACAACACAGAGTCGTTTAAAACTTAAGTACTTAACCGATTAACAATAACTAACTAAAATAATTTAAATAAACACTAGATTCTAAACACATTTTGATCGTATTTGTTTGGTTTCACGTTAGCGTGGTGTCTGTGATAAATAGTGGAACTACAAATCGTCAGCTGTTTGACTGTGGTAATAGTTACAAAATCTTCCGCTAGATGACGCTACTCTGTATTTGAAAATTATTTTTGTCCGACTTAAAAAAAGAGGTGATTCTCAATTCTACTGTATTTTTTCATGTGTATTTTACTCGATTACTCCGACTTTTGAAAACCGATTTTGAAGATTCTTTTTTGTTGGAAACAGCGTACCTCAGTAGTGCTCCCATCCAAATTTGAAGAAAATATTCTAAAGAGTGGCAAATTAGGGGATGAATCCGGTCCTGTATTTATTGTAATAAAGATAATAGGTCTCTAACAATGGAGGCTGTTCTGCCATTCGGTGGTGTGGGAAAAGCAGCAAAACATCTAATTACAAAACAAACGGAATCACATTTCATCGGTAATTACATATTAAACATGTAATTTTGCAATTTTCTCCATTATAGCAAAGCACGAGTTAAACTGATCGATTTGAAGTGAAACAATTGACGACACCCGTCAATTGTTTCGAGCTCGGGCTGGCCAATCGGAGCGCAGTTATCACAGTAATGATTTGGCAAAAAAGTTTTTAAACAAATTAAATGACGTTACGTCTCTATTTCTGGTTATACGTGTGGCGCACTATAAATTTCCGGAATGAATAAGAAAAAATATTATAAATGGTCAGAAATGAATTTATTGTTTCTCAAAATATTCTCCGTTCGCGTCAATGCACTTTTTCATACTAATGATCCAGTTTTTTAAATTTTGAATACAGTTAGCCACTCCTCCGCGACAATCTCTGAAACATATTTTTCATACTCTTCGACAGCCTCTTCAGGTGATGAAAATCGTTGACCGCGTAACTGGTTCTTAACTTTGGAAATAAATAAAAGTCACAAGGTGCCAGGTCGGGACTGTACCCTGGATGGCTCTTAAGATCAACGTTGTTCACCTTCAAAAATTCATTTGTCTGTCTGGCCGTTATCGTGGTGCAAGATGATACGGAGTTTACGGTTATTTTTACGGAGTTTGTCAATAACTTCCAGCAAACAAATGGTCGTGTAACAATCACTATTCACGTTACAACGATTCTCCAAAGCAACAGCAGCCACGTGTCCATTTTTTTTAAAAAAGAAGCAATTATCCGCTTAGAGGTACTTTGCACGCGCGCCACTTTGGTTGGTTTTGGCTCATCTCGAAATACCCATACGCTCGATTGCTGCTTTGTTTTGTGATCGTAACTATAAATCCATGTTTCGTCACCTGTTACTATATTCCACACCAAATTTGACGCCCCTTCGTTGAATTTCAAAGCTTTTTCACAACCAAATGTTTGTGTAGTTATTGATTGTATTCGACTCATGCCTATGCCTAAAGATGCTCGAATCTCATGGTATGTCACATGCCTGTCTGTTTTGATCATACGGCGCACAGCATCGATGTTTTTGTTGTTCACAGCAGTGGACGGGCGACCATCATGAAATTCGTCACTGAGATTCACACGACCAGCTATAAATAGTCGTCTTGAATGGTGCTTCACCGCCAAAAGCAGTTTGAAGCCGAGCGAAGCTTCGTTGAGCTGTTAAATTAACTTAAACTCGTAGAAAATCATACTACGAAAATTTTCACGAGTTAAATCCATGATGATGTAGACAACCAATTTCTAAAATAACGCCACAATGTAAAAAGAAGTGACAGTCAGATGAAACAAACTGTATTCTACAGCCAAATAGTTCCAGTTTCAAATGTTGTAATTACTTTTTAAATATTGTTTATGTAAGTGACCTGTTCCGGAAACTTATAGTGCGCCCTATGTATACTCGATGATGTCACCTTACTAAAACTAACATGGAAGGTACTATGTGTTATAGTAAATTTAATCTCGTTTGATCTGCAATGTAGTCTACAAATTAAAATTATTTTTATGACAAATAATTAGTAGACATCATCATCCTGATTCGCTAAAACACATACACAACATATATGTATAATATATTTGACAACAACAACATCACATACGTTGCTCTGATCCTAAAGTAAGTAGCTAAAGCACTTGAGTCATGGAAATCGGAAACAACTACGGTACCACAAACATCCAGACCAGAGACAATTTAGAAAAGTAAATTTTTCTACTCTGATTCGGCCGGGGATCGAACCCGGGATCTCAGAGATGGCGACAGTCATCTCATAAACAAGACACTTTAGACACTCGACCACGTCATACGAAACCAAAATATATATTTTTTTATAAGTATCAAAAGGTCAAAGCCTGAAAAAATAGATGTTGCCATGTTAAGTAATTTTCATGTATTTAAAAGCTGTGACAAACAAACATCAAAAGTTAACACCAATACCATTACAACATCAAAACGAAATAAATATTGGAAATAATAATTGTGTGCAAAATGTACTCATAAATTTACAAAGAGCAACCCCTAGAGTTGCTTCTTGCTCATTGTTCTCAGGGGAAGCTACTTTACGAATGCATAGTACAATTTAATCAATATGACGATTTCAAGTGTGATGTGCTTACCTCGGAAATAAAGACTATTTGACTTTGTGTGGGGTAAAGCGTACAAATTATTCATACCATATTGACGTTGCAAAAATGAGCGATTCGTTCTGTGTACCGTTTAGGGTCTCGGGTTTCTCTCGGAGAAAAGTTTAAGGAGACTGGTACCATGACTGTGGCATCACAGTACATTTACTCAAATATTTTGTATGCCCGTAAAAATATACATAAATCCATTAAGAAAGAACACATCCATAATATTAACCTTAGAACTAAGTCCAAATTCATGGTACCACGATTTCGTTTAACTAAGGTAAACAATTCTTTCACGGGCAACCGTATACGTTTTTATATTGTATTATCATTTCCCAAGTATAAGACTTACATTAAAAGTATTTTAATTGAAAAGTCGTACTACAAAATTGAAGAGTATGTGTTAAATAAAAATGTATGGAAAGACACACGAGTCTGGATTCCACACAATTATGATTCAAAGTGTATTCCATAGCATTTAAGTTTATTTGAAAAGAGCAATCCTCAGAGTTTCTTGCTCGGTCTTCTCAGGAAGGTCAGCGCAATTAACGAGCTGCAGTGCCTTAAAAAAATGACGTAAAAATTTTACCTATGGAATAAATGATTATTTGCCTTTCACATCTTTTCAGGATCACAAAGAATGAGAATGAGTTTTTGTGCTGTCATGTTCATATACTCCAATTTTACTCGTGGACTGTTTTATCTTGGAAAAAGTTCTTCAAGATTTGATAAGCGGTGTAGGTACGAGGCACCATCAACGGTGCTATGTAGCTTTTATCCTTTTAAATAGTAGTAATTTTATAAGGGCTTTGTCTAAGATTGTCCGTATGCCATTTAAGAAGTCACGTTTAATTTTGCATGAGTGATTCCACGATGCGTATTTGCCATTTTCCATTTTGCAACGAGTACGAGTGATTTATTGTAACGTGTTGATTTTTGGCAATATGAAAGAGAGCTTAGAATGATTTGTAAGTCAATGTTAGAATGTCATAAAATAAACAATATTGATGTATAGCTAAATTAATTTTCTTTGAATTTAGAACACTTTGCAGAAAAAACAATCTAAGAGGCTCTATATTTTTTATTTTGTTGTACTTGTAAGCCCATTTATTTCAGTATTGTGTCCTGCATTGTCAGTATCTGCAGGAAGAAATTTCTTTAAGAAATAAGTAAAACATTTTGTTTGTGTTTTCTTTTTGTTTGACGTGAATTGTGTAAGTCCTGTACAATTAATGATTACATAAATAAAATATGAAATATTGTTATCCCTGGATATTGTACTTAAATACTAAAATTGTGATATTTATATCATGAAATAAATTATCCTATTCTGTTCTTTAGATATTTTACTAGACAGAGCACCTTGTGAAAGAGTTCGTCCAAGGAAGTACTGCTACCTTACTTATTTATGCCGCCAAGCAGTAATGTGAGTATTGTTGCGTTTCGGTTTTGAGGGGTAAGGGTGCTGGTGAAATTATAGGCACATGAGACTTGTCGACTTAAGTTTCATGGTGATGGGCGTAGTGGCAGTGCTCCTCTTTGCGATTCAAAGCTCTGAGCGGTACTGCAACTGTTATGGACAAACCTGCCGCTTACCGCCAGACACACAACTCGTTAATCCCGTCACATGGTGTCTTAAAAAAATATTGTTTTTTTTTTAATGTTAATTACCTTGAAAAAACAATATATTTTTTTATGACTAGCTGAAATTATAGCTGATAATAATAAATTTTGACATTCTCACTATACCATGTTATCAGCTGTAACCTACAAGGCGAGTACTTATCTGAAGAGAGAGAGAGAGTATTCAAGCAGAACTCCTTTTTTCGGCAGGTTTGTTGAATAATTAAATTCCGTCCTGGATTCAGAGGCCACGGTCACGGTTGGGCATAAACATTTCTCCGTTAGCAACCGGCGCACGCGTCTATATCGTCGACGTATCAATTCGCGAGATTTCATCGACCAGAGAACTAAAACAAAATTGGGACAACGAACGACCACACGAATTTCTAATATGTTTTTATAACAAAAATTTACGCTACTTTTGGATGAAAACCACGTGATCGGTGTTGTGAATAATTTTTGAATTAGTAAAATGTGTTTAACAAAGTGTGCTTTACTTTTCATTGGAATTTTAATATTTTGTGCAGATATCGGTGAGTGTGTTTATTTATTTGACAATTTAGGGATGAGAAAAAAACACGTAGAAATACTCGTTATTGGATCTGTAAACAAAATGTCAAGACCAACAATAGACAAGAACAGAGAACAATAGGCGGTCTACTATTATTTGTGACGAAAAGTGTAGGTGACAGCTAATTTTTTAAATTAATTTTCCAAAAGACCAAAGTTTAGCTACAAATTTCTTTTTGCCTTTATTAGGCACTTTATTCTTTGCTGAATTTGGAAAGTAGTTAATGGCATTGGAATTCTCATCTCTACGTACAACTGTGTATAATAGTAATTAATCTGTCAATGTTCCTAAAATGTAAGAAATAAAATAAAGTAACACTTTTTTATATTTTAAGAAATAAAAAATAACATTTAATCTATATCTCATGATTTTGTTCCCATTTTCCGCTCTGATGAAGAGAAATTAAGAGAAACTGGTGTTGACACGCAGTCAATCGCATTGTGACTAGGATTGATAAAAAAATATAAATTACTTACTTGATTTCAAATCACGTTTAGGAAGATCGCTATTTTTGAATAAATAATTTTGGTTAGAGTATTATAATTATATAATAGCCAATTTTCCATATTGAAATTTGTGTTTATCGCAACCTCCACCCGAAATTTATTAATTCATTTGCAAATTCGTTATTAATAAAAGTGGAAGTAAATTAATTTGCTCAGCTACTCCGTGAACCCAGTGGAGGTTAAAACGTGCAAAATAGGTGCAGCGCTGGTGTTGAATATTTTTTCATACACAAATTTTTGAATATTTAAAAAAACGATTCAACAAAATTTGTACGATTCAACCTCCACTAGGTTCGCGGAGTAGCAAATTAATTTACTTCCATTTTTATTAACAGGGACTTACGCAAAGTAACGCCTGAATCTATTATTTAATTAAATAAGCATAGTGTTGTATATAATTTAATAAATATTAAGAGTTTAATAAAGTTTACATACTTATACAAGAAATGCACACAAATGGTAACAAATATAAACTAACTTCTTAATATTGTAAACATTGACGCATATTGATCGAAAGAAATTATAAATATTTTATTATTTCGTGTTATCACTTGATTTTAAAGTAAAGCTGTAAATCAATTTCAATGGCATTTAAGTCGACAATGAATAACACGTTGACTCTACATAAGTATTTGTTAAGGTTGCCTTACATCTTTGTTAGATACGAAACGTTGAATATGTACAGTCAACAGCACATTAAGATATATACACTTTTAATCGAATATCGCAGCCTGCAAGAATCCTAACAGTGTAGCTTGTGCCGTCTGTACATTCTAAGTTCATTATTAAGGTTTTGCAGGGAATAGAAGAACTATGAAGAATATAGTCAACACTGCCCCGCAGAAGTTCCGGGTTCGATTCCCGGGCCGGGAGAACTATTTATATGGCCTACATTTGTTTCGGTCATGAGTTTGGATGTAAATTGTGGTTGTCTATGGTGTCCATGGCACCCGCGACACAAGGTTTCCCCAGGGGCTGTGAATGTGTAAAAAAAACCAAAAAAAGATAGTGTTCAGCATAGGCACGTTACATATTACGTAGGTACTTTTGTCTGCTTTAAGTTACAATTTGTAAACATCAGTACTGTTATCATCCTCAAAAAGTACCTAATAAAGTAACTACTAGGACTAAAGTTTTGTGAGTTTTATTTTAATCAGCGATTGTACTGTATACGCATTAGAATTTTCCCAAGCGATAAGCAATAGATAGCGCTTACCTTTCATATAAGTGTACTGTTCATAATGTAAGGCTTATTGAAACAATAAATTATTACTTATTACAGGTGCATATGTATTATGTATGACTGTCAGAGTATAGTTGATGATTTCAGGAAGTTTATATAATTCCCTACCGTAATTCTGAAATATTGTTACTTTATCCAAGCCGAACAACTAACTATATAGTACGAGCGCATACTGCACATAATAGTAACACAACCTGGTAATTACCATAACATTGCACTCGACGTCTTAATAATAGCTTCAAAAATTTGTATGAATTGTATTACACACTGATGTACACACTGAGACAAGTTGACAGGTGCCAATTTCACCAGCACCCTTACCCTTCAAAACATGGTAACGGTCACATTACTGCTTGGCGGCCAATGACCTATTGGCGGCAGAATTAGATTTATTATACAACCAACGCCATCTGTCTTCAAAAGTAATTTTTACTCTTTTAGCACTGCTCTATAAATAGCAAAAGAGATTATTATGGTCTACCGTTACGATCGATAGAAAGTAAAAGTTGTTTTTGCGTAACTACAATAAGAACAGCTTGAAACCACTACTTTTACTTAGAAACAAAAACGTTTCATGCGTTCGTTGAGTGAGTGAGTCGGCGTTTATTTTTATTTTTTTGTTTATGGCTATGAACTATACGTGTACTGTAGAAATAAAAATGGCATTATAACATTTTGCGAATATTCAATGACACAAATATTTGTAACGGTATGACTGCTACAAATATTTGTATAACACGAAAGTTCTAAATATTTTTCTACAGTGTTCAGAAAATTTCATTGTTATTGTCATGCGAGTTACATTTCTTCTGTACAGTTATTCTACTGTACAGTAAAGCTATATTGTTATACATTGGGGTAGAACTGCAACTAAGAAATCTTCTGTTTAATTTTTGTTTGAGTTTAATATCGAAAAACTTACCAAGTTATAGGGAATTTCAAAATTTCAAGGAATTCCAAGGAATTTCAGAAATAGTTGAAACTATTCAACTATTTCTGAAATTTCTTCCGTCTGACTTCGTTTCCCATTTGCTTTCTTATATCACGTCTTATTTTATATTTTAACTTTTGTTCTAGTTTTTCAAAGCAACCATTAAATTAATCTAGTCTGTGTAGGTATTACCTAGAATATGTATACTAACTACATCATAAAAGGTTATTATTACTTGATGATTTATTGCCATTTAACATCAAATTATCTCATTTGTTATAGTGGTTATACTCGTAAAAATTGAAATTCGTTGTGAACATACGTATGCAGTTTGTTGGATCGTTGAGTTATAGTGCGCAAGCGTTGATTATTTTAATCTTATGTATTGGTGTATTATTTATCTATGACGTCTACTCGTATCGTGGTTTCGAATCCGAGCTTTATGTGTGGCGAGTTTCTCGAAATTTATGTGGAAATTTAATTTGATATTTACCATTTTACCATTTAAATAGATGCTCGTCTACAGTTATCAACTTAGAAACTCCAGAGGTTATAATGAGAGGTAGAACAAATCTATCAACATAACGAGTATTTGGGAGCAAAATGTGGGTTGTTACCATGCCCAGAGGAAACAAACTCGAACCAAGAGCTGAAGAGAAGCAAATGGTTGTCTATTCACCTAATGGATATCGCTTATGGGAACCTAAAACAAATAAAATAGTTGTATCGAGGTGGTACCTACGTTTTGATGAAAATGGAGGAGAAAACATCGTGATGAAACCTGCACGTCGAAGAACGTTCGCAACCTTCGGAAAACTATGGCCTAAATCCTCGTCTGAGAGGCGACCCGTGCCCAGCAGTGGGATGTATACAAAGATTGGTGGTCTACTCGTACAAGTGTCATTTTTGTACCTTTATGGTCGTAGCATTGTATAATATTGTAGATTTATTTTAAAGAATTTGTGAACTCGCAATATTTAGCAAGCTTCAAATTTTTTCATAGATTTCTCATAGATGGTGCTACGGCTAAAAAGTCGTTGAAAACCAAATACAAAGACCCGACAACAAATCACAATGAAAAATACATGAGGTCCGCTGGTTCGTTCCGTGGCTTAGTTGGCATAGCATCTGGCACGGTTTGCTAGAAGACGACGGTTTGAATCCGGCCTGATCGAAGAATTTTTTTCTAATCCAGCATCTTTGTATTAATAATTATAACACTAGTGGAGTAATTTCACAAAAAATAATTGAATATCCATTCAATACAAATTTAAGCTTAAACATGTTGCAATATGAACGTATGTTAAATAATGCGGAGGTAGCCTATTGGGAGAACGGTTGCTTCTCAATTGAGAGGTCGACAATTCGAGTCCCCGTGCTGGTATGTGCCACTTATGACTTTAGTTTTTAAGTTGCGTATATTTGTGAATGTTTAATAGGCTTACCTCTCGTTAGCGGTGAAGAAAAACGTGATGAAAAATTGCTTGCTAAACATGCGTAAAATTCACCAGAAACAGAAATTCAGTATAAACAAATCAATTCAGGAAGAAAAAATCAAATCACAAAGATTTTTAAGAAGTTGTTGTTGCTATACCGTTCGCGCAGACGCACCTCGCTACCCAAAGGTTCCTGCACCCATCGAGTATATAACCAGTTGCGGACGCTATCAGTGCACTGCACTGTAGTCAGATTCCTAGCATTTAGTTAGAGTTTATTATTATTCATTATTAATCACGATACGATGATATTATGAGTTACGTATTTACATTCTAATAATTTTAAAACTCGGGTTTTCCTCAGCTGAAAGCCGGGTTGCAAAATGGGCGGCTACTCAGTTTGTTCGGTTAATCGAGTAACCTGTCTGTAATTTCACCAGCACCCCTACTCTTCGAAACCGGAACGCAAAATGCTCACGTTAATAACTTGGCGGCAGAAATAGGTGAGGTGGCAGTACTTCCCTGGACGAACTCTTTCACAGGCAGATTAAGCTCCGCTGCATACGCAGTCCGCAGAATACGTGAGTTTACCGATGTTAGTCCTGCTGGACTAGTTTACTTTAGTTACTTCCATAGTATAATGTCCTAAGGGATTCTCATGGGGGTAAAGCGTATTAGCGCAGACATACAAACCATATTTGTATTGCAATTCGCTTTAAATAAAAAAAATAAAAGCGATTCGTTATGTGTGCCGTTTAGTTTCTTGGGTTTCTCTTAAAGATAAGTTTAAGGAGACAGGCATCACAGTATATTTACTAAAATATTTTATATACCCGAAAAAAGAAA